GCCATCCTTTTTCTTCAGAGACAAAGACAGATAAAGCTCCTGTTGACTGTTAACAATATTATATCATTGTTGTTTATTACTTGTCATTGCTAAGAACTACTTTTAAACAAAGTCCAAGGGACAGCTGATGAAAGAGAGGCAAATACTACCTTTTGAAATTCACACTTTATTCCCATTCAATTCAAATTCCCATTAATGTTTTGCTAGCATTTAATTTGTCCTCTAGCACTGTGCAGAGGTGGATCCAGGATTGATGGGGGGAGGGAGGAGTTTACAGGACCAGTAATTTTGCCTCTCCTTAATCAGCTGCCCTTGAACTTTGTTTAAAAGTAGTCCTTGGCAATAAGAAGTAGGGCTGTCAAATGGTTAAAAAATTTGGTCACAATTAGTTGTGTGATTAAAAAAATTAGTCACAATTAACCACAATTTTAATTGCACAGCTAAAAACTCCAAAATTTATGTGCAGAAAAACTCAAAATTATGCAAAATTATGCAGGTACTTTGTATGATTGGGTGTGGAGTGTTGTGTGTGTGTGTGTGGGAGGAATTTGTGAAAGTGTGGGGGGCTCTGTGTGTGTGTTGGGGGGGTTGGAGCCTAGGGAGAGGGAGCTCCCTGCACACCCTAACAGGAGTGAGGGGCAGCAGCAGGGCTGGGGGGGGGCTGTGGCTTGGGAGTGAGGGACAAACGCACACACAAACTCAGTGCCACACTGGAGCGGAAGGGGTGGGAGTAGAGGGTCCTCACGGTGAAGGAGGGAGGGAGTGGGGCAGAGACAGGGACAGGTGCTGGAGTGAATGGGAACCAGGGCCACGGCAGGTCATGGGATGGAGCCGCAGTCCTCTGCATTGCTGCCACTGCCCCGCTGGACTGCCCAGAGACAGCGAGCGGGGCCCAGGTATGAGCTTCAAAACCACATGCGCGATTAACGTATTAAAAAAATTAACTTGACCCAATTAACATGTTAATCACGTGGGTTAACTGCATTTCATTGATAGGGCTAATAAGTAATAACCAATGAGATTAGAAGGCTGGGGGTACAGCTGAACCATTGTACCCCCTCTGTATCTGCCCTTGGTACTGTGTTGAAATAAAATGGTTGCTCTGTTGGTGAAAAATGGCCATGTTTTGGCAAGTATTTGGAAGAATTTTCAAAACCAATGTGTTTATTATCCCAGACATTGAGTGAGTTGAGATTCTAGATCCTGGAGATGTAATTTTGTCTATAGAATACTGTTTATAGGAGGAAATAGAAAGAGTTCTATACACCCCTTAAGAAAATGCCTTTGGACCCAGAAATATTGGGTGAAAATCAGTGGATGCTGCATGTGAGTGTGAATCTCTGCGGCCAGTAGTTTCTGGGATGGTAGAAGTGCTGTGGATACTTGTAAAAGCAACTATGTTTGTAGCTACAGGTGAATGTGTATTCATCTATCTATTATCACTAATCTCCTATTTTATTTATACTTCTTTATTTGAGGCTACTATGCAACCTGCAAGAAATGATAAGAGTTGATCTTACATTAGGCAATCCTCTTCTGGATTTGTAATAAATAACTATAAGACCTTTAGGAATAACATGTGTGATTTGGAGAAAATTTTTCATAATTTTTTTTCTTTAAATGTCAGAATGGGGTCACTTTTGATGCAGAGCTACAGAAATGTCAATTTGTTACTGTATGGATTGCTTGCATTTGCTTTCTGACTTTGATGGATAACCCAGTGGTGTTCTATCCGTGGACTTTTGTCTTTTGAATCTGTTGATTCTGCACCAAGATTTAAAGCAGCTGACACTCCTGTAAATTAGGCTGCTAATTTTTTACTGGAAGAACTATAATTCTCAAAATACTTGTAGGGGAAATGTTCTGGAAGTGTTTTTTCAATCTGGGATCCAGGGGTGACTGGTGCCTCCTGAGTCTGGGGGAGGGGCACAATTTGTGGGCAGTCCCGGGGGCGGGCCAAAAACCCCATATCCACTTCTATACTTCTGTGCCACAGCTTAGTGCCCCCTCTCCCCCGCAACATGCTGCTGGCCTGTGTGGTAAAAAAAACTGCCCGGTCCTTAGCAGTTGGGGGCCAATCTCAAGGAGGGCACGTGTCCC